CTAATTTAAACCTAGAATGTACCAGAGTACAATATATATGTGCTTAAAACTTTTTGCCAATCATTCTCTTAGCAACAATAAAAATGTTTCAAATCATGGATGGGCCAGGGATATAGCTCAGCCAGGGTATTCTTTACAAAACATTAATATGATCGTGTCATGGTTTGTATCTAGATGTCCCCCTCAAAGCCTCATGTACTCATAGGTGGGGCTTTGGGGAAGTGATTGGATCATGGATTGTTGGATTAGTCCACTGATGAATTTGTAGCTAAATGGGATGTTAGGAGGTAAGGCCTGGTGGGAGGAGGTGGGTCACTGGGGGCGTGGCCTAAAAGGGTCTATCTCCCTCCCTCTTTCCTTCCTCCTTTGAGAGGTCTCTACTTCCTGCTGACATGCTATGAACTCTTTCTCTTCTATGATGCCACTCTGCATTGAAGCAGCCAAATATGGACTGAAACCTCTGCAAACTGTGTGCCAAAATAACCCTTTCCTCTTTAGAGCTATGGGTGTCAGGTGTTGTGTCTCAGTAGTGAGAAAGTAACCAAAACAGGGCATGTTACTAGTCTGCTTAAAATCTTTTAAGGATTTGCTGTTACTCTTAGTATAAAATCCAGTTTTCTAATGCCCCTTCTTGATGTGAAAGACATTGAAAACTACAGTATTCTGAAAAAGGAGATTGAAGCGGATATCAGAAAATGGAAAGGTGTCCCTTTTGCATAGGAAGAACCAATATAGTGAAGATGGCCATACTTCCAAAACTGTTACACAGATTTAATGCAATTCCATTCAAAAGTCTAATAGCACATCTCACAGAATTAGAGAAAACAATCCTGAAATTCATTTGGAACCAGAAGAGATCTAGAATAGCAAAGGCAATTCTGGGCAAAAAGGGCAAGGCAGGGAGCATTGCAGTCCCAGGTTTGAAATTATACTATAAACTGGGCATGGTGGTACATGCCTGTAAGCCCAGCACTCGGGAGGCTGAGGCATGAGGATTGGTGCAAGTTTGAGACCAGCCTGGGCTACAAAGTGAGCTCAAGGCCAGCCTGAACTGCATAGTGAGACCCTATCTCAAAAAGACAAAAAAAAAAAAAAAAATTATACTATAAAGCTACTGTGATAAAAACAGCATAGTACTGGCAAAAAAACTGACCCAAAGATCAATAGAATAGATTAGAAGATACAGAAACAACTCCAGACATATTCAGCCACTTTATCCCTTTTTTTTTTTTTAAAGATAGGTTATGGCTGTGCAGTTCAGGCTGGCCTTGAGCTCACTTTGTGGCCCAGGCTGGTCTCAAACTTGTAATAATCCTGCCTCAGCCTCCCAAGTGCTAGGATTACAGGTATACAGCACCACACCTGGCACCACCTTATCTTTGACAAAGATTCCCAACACATTCTCTGGAAGACAGCCTCTTTAATAATGGCGCTGGAAAAACTGACTGCACATGCCGAAGATTAAAATTGGACTCATTGTTCGCCATACACTTAACTAAACTTGAAATGGATCAAAGATCTACATATCAAAACAGAAACATTAAATCTGCTGGAAGATAGAATTGGTAAAACTCTTGAAGACATTGGTGTAGGCAAAGACTTTATGAGTAAAACTCTAATTGCACAAGAACTATCACAAAGAACAACTGGGATCTCATCTTATTAAAAAGCTTTTGCACAGCACAAGAAGCTGCCAAGAGTGAAGAGACAACTCACAGTGTGGAAAAAAATGTTGGCCGGCTGTTCCTCAGACAAAGGACCAATATCAAGAACATATAAAGAAAAAGAAAAAAAGAACATAACATATAAAGAACTCAAAAAATCAGGCCTCCCAAATTTATTTTTTTTATTTATTATTTTTTAGGCCTCCCAAATTTAAAGACCCAATCCAAAAATAGGTATCTGAGATGAATACACACTTCTCGGATGAAGAAATACAAACAGCAAATAAATATGTGAAAAAATGTCACTGGTCATTAGAGAGATGCAAATCTAATGTACATTCTTTACCTCTCTAGCTTTAGGATAATGTTGTCCAGTAGAAAATCCAGTGAAGATGGAAATGATCTGTACTGTCCAACTTGATAGCCAGTAGCCACATGTTACTGTTGGACACTTGGAATGTGACTTTGGAGGGTGAGGTTGAATTTTAGTGTATGTGCTGCCCAAAGCAAGCACTAGAGGGTGAGGTTGAGACAGGGCATCACTGTGTAGGTCACCTGTCCTCAAACTTGAAGCAGCCCTCCTGCCTCAGCCTCTGAAGAACTGGGATTACGGGCATATGCCACCACATCTGACTGAAATGTTATTATGACTGAGAAGCTGAGTGTTTTAGTTAATCTTAGTTAATTTAAATGTAAATAGCCACATTTGACTGGTGGCTGCCCTGTGGGACTGTGCAGCTAGTTTAGTGCTTCCGAATATGCTCTTCTGTCTGCTTAAAATACTCATTCACCATGGTTCTCTGCCACTCATTCATCAGCTGTCAATTTTTTGCTTTTTAAGGAGGCCTTCTCTGACTCATCAGTCTAAATCAGGAAATCTCATGTTCTGTTTCATATCCCCACAACCCTTCCTATATAGCATGTAATAACAGTGAGATTGTTCAGTGTCCCAGTTAACGGTTGTCTCCTCACCTAACAAGAATCTTTATCTGATATTTTCATCACAGTATAATTAGCTTTCTCCTCCCTCCCTCCCTCCTCTTGCTGCGTTTTTTCCCCCTAAGGAAAACTGTATCCAGCTTTATTAAAGATACTTTTCATAAACAGTCATGGTATTTCAGGCAGGACATGGGCACACAGTTGTTAACAGCGTACAAAAACTCACACTTCTTGGACCAGCAAAAGTCAGAGAGCCACTCTAAATCCAATGAAGTCTTCATTTGATGCTCTGAGTAGTAAAGGTTTAGAGTGAAAAACATTTCACATTTAGCATGTTGCTTAACAACTTTTCACAAGCTGACCCTGAATTTCAGGAAGTGAAATGAAAATGGCAGGATTATCAGTCTGAATATCCATAATCTAGAAAAGGAAATCATTGCTTTTGTGGGACACCATCTCAACATTGGTAACATGAATTTTTGAGAGTCGATCCCAGGAGGTTTCTGGACTTAAGAGAGTTAAGTGTACGCTTAACTGATGGCAGAGAAGGAAAGGAGGACATAAAATGAACTGGGAGTTTTCCCACACCACAAGGAATTTATGCCAAGGTGGCCACATGTATCAACATCAGGGAGTCCCTCCTCCTGGGAGCCACGAGGAAGTCTTTCAAAGCTAACAGGGAAAAGTGCATTCCGCACATCAGTCCAACCTTGGAGACAATCCAGCTGGTGACATAAGCTCCTTCCCCAAAAAACAAGGAATTGTTCTGTGTGCTAACAACATAGTTTAAAAGTAAAACAAAATTCTGCATTTTTATAAAACTTGACAAAAAATAGGATTTCAAACTGTACAATCACCAGCAGTACACAGTTATCAAAAATGCGTACACTTCACTTGGCATCTGCAGCACTTCTGCTTTCTGCCTGGTCTGCCTGAGCCACTCCGTTGTCTGCTGGGTCATCTCATCCTTGGTGGTATCAGTTTTCCTTTTTCCTTCCAGGCATCTTCCCTCCCTTCTTCGCGGGGGCCTTTTTAGCTTGGGCTCTAGCTTTGGAGGAGCTGGTTTAGCAGACAGCCTTGTGGATCTCTGTGGTTCATCCTTCACCTTGGTTTATCTCCTTTAGCATCCCCTTCAGCCTTTCTCTTGGGCATAGTGGAGATTGCAGCAGGTCGCAGACCTTGGACCTGGGATGCAGAGGCACAACTTTGGTTGTCCCAGTGGTCTTTCTCACTTCTTCACACTGCTCTTCATGCTGGGGTTTAAATCCAGGGCCCTGTGCATGCTAGGCATTTGCCCTGCCCCTGATACCAGAAATTCAGGAATGGAAAAATTTCTGAAGCAAAAGCTAACATGTGACTCTGGTGGCTTATTAGGTACTTATTGTTTGTTTTCACATAAGCTAATGATAATTCTTTTCTTGTTTCTGAAGAGAGGCTATTTCAGGAAGATGAGAATGATGCTGGTGGGCAACAGGGAGCAGAAAGGAGAAAGTAAACTTGGTTATTTATTGAGATTCTGAGCCAGTTGGCAAAGTGGAAATCCATGCGGCATGATTATACATTCATAGGTGGATTCTGAAGAGCCAGTCTTTGAGGCTGTTATCAACTGGGTAAAGCATGCCAAAAAGGAGCGCGAAGAGTCCTTGCCTGACTTGCTGCAATATGTGCGGATGCCCCTGCTGACCCCCAGGTACATTACAGATGTGATAGATGCTGAGGTAAGTCGTGCAGGACACTTACAATCTAAAACCTTGACTAGCTCTTGCAGCTTAGTACTGTGTACTCACCATTGATCCATTTTCCATTGGGCATGGTGGTGCACAGCTGTAATCGGCCCTTAGGAGGCTGGGGCAGGAGACTTACTGCAAGTTGAAGCCTGAATGGGCTACATAGTTCAAGGCCAGTCTAAACTACCTAGCAAGGCCCTATCTTTTTTTTAAAAAGGGTTTTTTGGGATCATTTTCATACAGGCACATAGTCTCCTGGTTTGCCTGTCTAGGAATGGCAAGAGAGGACAGTGCTGGGTATTTCCCATGCATATTTCTAAGAAAGTCAGTAACTTGACTTGTAGGGCTCCTTGCACAAATGAAAATGGGTAGTTTTACTTAATTTTGTGTTTGTTGTATGTGTTTTTTTTAAACATGCCCTAAATGTTTTAGTTAAGCAACATTAGATGATAAACTTTGTTTCCTTTAAATAGAAATTGTCCTAGAAAGAAAAAGGACAAATATACTTCTTAGCAGACCTCTTTTTTTTTTATCTTTACTGAAACCAGCATGAAAGTACTGCAGGTTAATGCATTTTAGGATCAGCTTTGGTCAGTGTTAAGTTTACTGATAACAGTTTTTGTCCAATTTCAGTTCTTGGTGGTGTTTTCGTAATTTTTACCATATTTGCACCTATGTTACCTAGTGGACCACACTTTGAAGCAACTGATTTCATTTTTGTTGTTATTTTTGGGGGTTTTTTTGTCTTGTTGGAACAGGGTCTCGCTATGCAGTTCAGGCTGGCCTTGAGCTCACTTTGTAGCCCAGGCTGGTCTCAAACTTCCAATGATCCTCCTGCCTCAGCCTCCTGAGTGCTGGGATTACAGATGTGTGCCACCATGCCCAGCTCTGGAGGAACTGATTTTTAACATGTATGTAAGGCCCAGGTCAGTGAAAAGTTTCTTTTGCAGGCCCAGCCCCCGATCTTTGAGGGAGTTAAATACAAAAACAGTTTTCTAGTTGTTTACCTTAGGAAAGTTGGTTAGTGTGTGGTGGTTGGTTAGTGTCACACCTCAAACTAATTTTTACTTGTTTATAATTTCTTTTTTTTTTTTTTTTTTGGTGCTGGGAATCGAACTCAGGACCTTGTACCTGCCAGGCAGGTGCTTATGCTACTGAGCTATATCCCTGGCCCCTGTGATTTCTTTCTTACAACCCATCCACATACTCCTTGAGTTCAGTTCTTTTCATCATAGTAAGGTACAGACTCTGGAGCCAGAATTAGGTGACTGAAATCCCAAGTCTGCCACTTACTATGTAACCCTTAGGCAGATTACTAAATATACTTGTGCCTCAGCTTTCTTATCTGTAAAATAAAATGATAATAGTCCCTACTTCATAAGTTGTTGTCAGTACTATGTGAGTTAATATGAAGAAGCTTTTAGAACCACGTCTTCTATTTCAATATGCACTATTTATTTTCCTTTCAAGTGATACTGAAAACTTTATGGGTCAGGTTAATAGGAAACAGATGGCATGCTCAAAACAGTGCAGTTTAGGGAGTGTTTGTTTATAAAGGAGCTGTTTACAAAGGTGGGATATAAGGAACAACAGAAGACTGTGAAATAACATGGATCTAATATAGCCAAGCTGTTAATGATCTTTAAGCCTCAAAGGCCATGGCCAAGGAGTGAGTACTAAAACCTGGAAAGAAAGAGTCACGTAGAGTTGCTACCTTAAGAGGATCCTGGACCTTTGATCAGCCCGATCCCAAACAAAAGCCTGAGGGTGTGGGAACTGATGTAGCTCTTTAGGCTGGTCTTTGGAGCCAGAGAGCAAGTTGGAGGGGAGTATGAGGAACCCAGGGAAGCAAGACAACAAACAGTACAGCGCCTGACAGTGCTTTGAACCTTGGGGAAGTTACTCCATATATTCCGCCCTTTAATCCCAGAAAATGATGGAGGCCTTAAAATTTTCTCTTAAAATATTAACTAGTTATGCCAGGTTTGGTGACGCACTAGGGAAGCACTTGGAGATCACCAAGAATTTGAGGCCAGCATGGGCTACATAGTGAGACCCTGTCTCAAAGAACAATGACAAAAATAAGTACAGTAAGTCCCCAACTTATGAACATTCAAGTTGTGAACTTTCACAAATGGACCTCGCATTATAAACATCTGGAGATGAATGAAAATCACAGAAGTGCTTCGTGTGTCTGCCGGACATTCTCTGCAATAGTGTACAGTGGCACAGTGCTCAGTTAAAGGCAGGATGTCCAGAGCCAAGAAGAAAAGCAGTGGTGATGTGGAGGGGGCTGCTAGGAAGCATACAGCAATACACATTGTATATTTGCATCAAAGGTGTGTAAGACTGTTTGTCAGACTAAGGAAGGAATCTGACTTATAAATGTTCTCCCGGAATGGAACTCATTTGTAATTTGGAGACTTATTGTACTAGTTATTTGAGGATCTGTTTGTTTGTTTGTTTGTTTGTTTGTCATTTTAAGAAAGGGTGTCACTATGCAGTTCAGGCTGGTCTTGAACTCACTTTGTAGCCCAAGCTGGCCTCAAAGTTGTAACAGTCCACCTGCCTCAGCCTCCCAAGTGCTGGAATTACAGGCATGCGCCACCACACCCAGCTCTGTACTAGTAATTATATACTTGTATCTTCATAACCTCAGGATGTAGAGATTAATAAAAATAGTTATGTATGAGTGCAAGGCAGATGGGAAATACATTTTTTTTATATATTTGAGATTAAACCCAAGGCCTTTGTACATGTTAAAAAGCATACAATTTACCACTTTGCTATACCCATAATCCCCTATATCATTTGTTTCTTGATCCATACACATATTACCTGTTTTAAAAATGAAAAAAAGCCAGACATGGTGGCACACACCTGTAATTCCAGGACTTGGGAGGCTGAGGCAGGAGAATCACCATGAGTTTGAGACCAGCCTGGCTATATAGTTAGTCTCAATAAAACAAATAAACATAACCCCCCCCCCCAAAAAAAGGAAAAAAATACAGTTGAGTATGGTGGCAGATACATTAATCCTAGCACTCTGGGAGACTGAGGCAGGAGGGTTGCAAGTTTGAACCCAGCTTGGGCAATTTAACAACTTAGTGAAACTGTCTCAAAAAGAAGGGCGAGGCCTCATGTGAAGGCCCTGAGTTCATTCCCCAGTACCTCAATTTAAAAAAAAAAAAAAATTTAAAAATCACTTCTAGAAACCCACAGCATAGTTATTATCAGTTGTCCTCCTGGATCACAGGTCTTTAGCATCTAGCTTTCTATGTTAAATTAATTCTGTGTGTCACTTCATTCTTACAGTTTTAAAAAATGGCCCATTTGGCTCACTCTACTGTCTGCTTATTTCAGCCTTTCATCCGCTGTAGTTTACAGTGCAGGGATCTGGTTGACGAAGCAAAGAAGTTTCATCTGAGGCCTGAACTTCGGAGTCAGATGCAGGGCCCACGGACAAGGGCTCGTCTAGGTAAGCCAGCGTCTTGGCAGAAGAGGGAATATTTTTCAGCTACTTCTTGCAGATGTCATAATACAGTTGAAAAGAACATTCTATAAGACATACAAAGACCTCATTTTAGATCTGCTTTTAATCTTTTTTCTTTTTTGGCCAGGCATGGTGGCACACACTTGTAATCCCAGCACTCAGGAGGCTGAGGCAGGAGGATTGCTGGAAGTTTGAGACCAGCCCGGGCTACAAAGTGAGCTCAAGGCCAGCCTGAACTGCATAGTGAGACCCTGTCTGAGAAACATACCCCCACAAAAAAATTTCTTTCCTTTTTGGTGGTACTGGGCTTCAGAGTTGAGGGCATCCTATCACTGAGCTCCATATCAAGCACTTTTTATTTTGAGACAAGACCTTGCCTAGGCTAGTTTCAAATGTGTAATTCTGCCTCAGCCTCCTACATAGCTTGGATTGTAGATGTGTGCTCCTATGGCTGCCTGCTTTTAGTCTTTTATTGTCTCAAACAAGTCACCATTCTAAGCCTTCTTTTCTATTAACCAAGAATATCTTCTCTATTTCATGTAACTATTTTGTGATTGAGATCAAGTATAAAAGTATTTTCATAAATTGTCAAGTATTGTATAATACAGTTTTATTTCAGTATTTTTAGAGTCTGTGAATGAGAGATTATTTTAAACGTCATGTATAAGCTATATGCTCCCACCCACTTCTCCTCTTCCCCATGTGTGTTCTTTGCCATTCTAGAATGAAAAGAGGGAGGAAAAGCAGCTCAGTATACTAGAAAATGCAAGTATTTTGGCAGTGACATGCAGTTGTTACAAGCCTGGCCTCTGGAGCCAGACTCATGGGTGCAGAGCCCAGTTCACCGGGCCCTAGGTACATGCACTTGGGCATGAGCTTCCACCTCTCTGTGCTTCAATTACCTCATCTGTAAAGAGATAATCACACAGTACCTATCTCTAAGGCTGTGACAAAGAGTAAATGAAGTAATGTATGTAAGGTTAGGACAGTCCTTGACATGTGCAACAGACCTGAGTTCAGAGCCCAGCCCACTAGTCACCAGCTGAACATGTCAGTCTATTTAAGTCTGTGTTTCTTTCTCTAAAATGAGGGTTAATTTCTTATTCACTGGGTTATGGGGGGGTGGGGTAGGGTGGATTAAATGAGATAATGGAGATAAGAGGGCTAACATGTAGCTGGTACAGAATAAGGACTCAGATACTTCTCAAATACTCCTTATTTCCTGTTCTGCCTACTTCACACTCCCAAAAGCCTGACTATAATGTGCAAAAGTATTTTTTTTGGCTTGCTCTTAACTTAGAATCATGCACTGAATGTTAATAATTAAGCTGCACACGGAAAGGTTTAAGTAGAATGGTTTTTAACTCTTATGTTGTTTGTTTTTGTGGTATGGGGATCAAATCTTGCACATGCTAGGCAAGCGTTCCACTGCCCCAGTCCCTCTCCTGTCTTTTTGGTGGATCTCTGTACTGTGGAATTTCTTCCTGCAAATATTTGTTGTTCAAATCAGGATCCAAAATCCACACATCACAGTGATAACCCATTGTCTTTAGGCTCTTTTGATCTGTAGATTTTTCTCTTTTCCTTTTGGTTTTCTCTGGCAAATTTGTTAAAGGAACCAGGTTGTTTGACTTGCAGAATTTTCCATAATCTGGATTTTGCTGATTATGTTCTGACATTGTTATTTAGCATATTCTGCTGCATTTTCTAGAGACTGGTGATTATTAAAATAGAAGCTTGGTAAAATTCAAGTTGTGCGTGTGTGTGTGTGTGTGTGTGTGTGCGCGCGCGTGCGTGCATTTATATATATTGCTGGGGATTTCAAACCCAGGACCTTGTGTGTGCTGGGCAAGTACTATGCCACTGAACTATGTCCCTAACCCTTTTATTTTTATTTTTAATTGTATGCATTTATCTTTGCGACAGGGTCTTGCTGTTAGCCCAGGCTGTCTTTGTACTCCTTATGAAGCACATATTGACCTTAAATGTGTGATCATCCTGCTTCAGCCTCCTAAGTTCCTGGGATTGTGGACCTGCGCTACCATACCCATGTTCAGTTTTTTAGAAACATTACTGTACAGGTGGCAGTGTTGCCCTTTCTGTTGGTCACATCAGGAAACACAGTGTCTGATGGTACTATATTAACTTGCCCTATACTGGTCAAAGCAGCTATTGATGATCACTCTCAAATTTGTTGCCTCACTAGGGCTTCATCCATGTTTCTAGTCATCTTCAAGGCACTGTATTTGCCTTTTTAATTGCAGGTAGCTTAGAATATCACCCTGGTCTCCTAAATGTTTTCCTAGTGATTGAACTATCCAGAGCTCTGCCAGACTCCTCTCCATGGGTTTAGTAGAACATGACGCACAGAGAATTTCCTGTGATTTTGCTCTTTGAAAAAATAGTTTATCAGAATAAAGCCTTAGAGGAAAGAAGAGAATATAAAGGTTGTCAAAATGGCTTCTTTCGGAAAATAGAAGGAAAGACTTTCTTTTAAAAGCCTTGTCTTTCTTGTCTGGCAGTTTGAATGAATTGACAGGGAATGTGATACAGAGTTAGCCATAGAAAAGAGATTTTTGAAATGTATAACTTGGTCCCTAGGTCTTAGCCCACAACTTTTTTATGAAAAGGCTAGAGGAATTTTGTTTCCCATTACAAAAAAAGGACTTAGGACCTGAGTTACTGTTAGAGTCATCTGATGACATGAAAATGATATAGTAGTATATTCATGTTTGCCTTTTAGACTTTAATGTTGTCCAGGAATTCACATGTTAGAGATTGAGGTCCTCAAGATTCATGTTCCTTCTAGGCAGCCATGTGGTAAATCTACTATTTCAGACTACTTCTCTTGAGCGTGAAAAACAGTATACCTGAGAACTGTTTCTACATCATGCTTTCCTGTAAGTAGTTACATAGCCAGGGATCCTAAAGTAACTTACCTTTTTCTGCTTTTGTCTTTAGGAGCCAATGAAGTGCTTCTGGTGGTTGGGGGCTTTGGAAGCCAGCAGTCTCCCATCGATGTGGTTGAGAAATATGACCCCAAGACTCAGGAGTGGAGCTTTTTGCCAGTAAGTGATGGTGGAATCCACGGGCAGAAAGCCTGAATGACCTTTCCCTGACTATTAATGATAATTAATGCATCCCTAAGAGTAGAAAAGCCTGGTAACAGTACAGGATTTCTTACAACACTGTTGTACGCACAGTAGGTACTCAATAGACAGATTTTGACTGTTCAGATTAGAAGATTTGGCTTCAGAAATGTTGTTGGCTGTGTGTCAAACTCAGTTCAACTGGCTGCCACTGTTTAGGCACCCAACCTGCTCCATTGGCATGCTGTAATTTAACTCGGGGTTAAATTGTGTTATATTGAGCCAGTATTCGGTTGAGCTGAGAATTTTTATCTCCCTCAGTACATCTTTATTTCAGTACTCTATGAATAATAATAATTTCTGAGAATGAAACAGTATCAGTCTTTTAGCTCAGTACTTTATGAAAAGGAAAAGGAGTCAGCTGCCGGTCATAGAAAGCCACAAAATCCGTCAAAAGCCTTGAAATGAGGCAGATGTGCGGGAGGCTTGCATCTTTCAGAGGACCATGGCAGGCATTCTATGCAATAGGCAGTCAGCTGCAGGACACCTGAGGATGAACTGCTGCCTCAAGGAGGTTCATGGAGACAGGTGAAGAAGCATAAAACTGACTGCAGCCAGACATGGTGGCACACACCTGTGATCCCAGCACTCAGGAAGCTGAGGCAGGAGGATCACCATGAGTTTGAGGCCAGCCTGGGCTATATAGTGAGTTCAAGGCAACTGCATAGTGAGCCCATTTTAAAAAACAGTGTCTGGAAACAGGAAGAATAACATAAGGTAAGACTTAAAATGACATGACTGAAATGCTCTGTACCTCTTCCTTTCCAAATTCATAGAGCATCACTCGAAAGAGACGTTACGTGGCCTCAGTGTCCCTGCATGACCGGATTTACGTAATTGGTGGTTATGATGGCCGTTCCCGCCTCAGTTCAGTGGAATGCCTGGACTACACTGCAGATGAGGACGGGGTCTGGTATTCTGTGGCCCCAATGAATGTCCGACGCGGCCTTGCAGGGGCTACCACCCTGGGAGGTAGGCATAGTGGCTAGATCAGTGTGCTTGTGTCTGGCAAGAGCATGGAATATACAGGAGAAATCAGTACAGTCAAACAGTCTTTTTGCTTTTGGAAATAGCATGTTAAAAAGCTGTTTGGTATTCATGGACTTTTCAAAACTGCATACAGGGGCTGGGAGTTTAGCTCAGCGGCACAGCTCCTGCCTGGCAAGCGCAAGGTCTTGAGTTCAATTCCCAGTACCGGGGGTAAGAAAAAAAAAAAAACTGCATACAAAGTTGGTAATTCAAGTTCTACTGTATTCAATCCGAACTGGCTTTATTTTTATAAACTCCCACATAGTCTTTCAACACTTTAAAAGATTTCATCTTAAACCCTTCTTTTTAGATATCCTTACTACTGTGCTGTCTTCTTATCTCTGAGATTTAATTGACTCACCCCATTAAAAAATTCTTTTTCCAGGTATAGTGTCACATGCCTGTAATCCCTACTACTTGAGAGGCTGAGGCAGGAGGATCACAAGTTTGAGGCCAGCCTGGGCAACTATTTTTTGTTTTTGTATTTTTCTCCTAGACAGCTGAAGGACCTGTGGGGAACTTGTAGAGAAAAGAGCTCTTAAAAATCTCTCATTCTTTAAATTACTCTGTAATTTGTTCATTCTGAGCAGATATGATCTACGTCTCTGGAGGCTTTGATGGAAGCAGGCGCCATACCAGTATGGAGCGATATGACCCAAACATTGACCAGTGGAGTATGCTGGGAGATATGCAGACAGCCCGAGAGGGTGCTGGACTAGTAGTGGCCAGTGGAGTGATCTACTGTCTAGGTATTTAGGCAGAGATACAGATGCAGAAAACTCAGTGGTTGGCAGACTCTGGGTGGGATCCCTTTTTATCAGAATTAAGTTCATATAGACTTCAGCAAAAGCTCTGGTTTATCTCAATATATTTTCCATTTACCAGAATTATCCTACTGTTCTAAGCAAAAAGTAAAGGTTCTCTTGGGATTAGAACTCTAGGAGAACTAAAACTAGAAGAATTAGAGTACTTGGAGGAGACCGGCTGGGAATGGGCCTGAGGATATACCTTTCTTTCTGGAATGATCTCTACTTTGTGTTCCAGGAGGATATGATGGCTTGAATATCTTAAATTCAGTTGAGAAATATGATCCCCACACAGGACACTGGACTAACGTTACACCAATGGCCACCAAGCGTTCTGGTAAGACCAGTCAGATATGAGGGAGGGGACAGTAGACCACAGTGCCGTCAGTTCTTTCCATATGCAGTGGGGGTGTACCCCTAGGACAGAATAAATCAGAGACTTTCTGTAAATATGAGTAAGAGTCCAGTCTCCTTTCCCCCTCTGCTTTCCCTAATTAGTAGGATAAAGATAGCTTAAACTTATATTACAAATTTCAGGGCCAAGTCTTATGTTACTCATTTTTTAAATTTCTGTGTTACCTTTCTGCATTCTAGAATACCTAATACAATTTTGTGCATGGGCTATATCTTAAGTGTCTGTTAAATAAAATCTCTAATGCACTGGATAGAAAATAGGAAAGTAGCTATTCCCCTTCACCGAGAGCTTCCTCAAGTGAACCACTTGGGGTGTAAGACAGAAGATCCATGCTTTTCCATTTTACTTCCTTGGGATAAAAGTGACACCAGAACTGTAATCACAGCTCCTCCCCTTCCTTTCACCTTTATTGCCACTTTTTTTTTTTACTCCCTTATTTTCTCTTGAAGAGGGGTGACCTTGCAGTGAAAATAGAGGAGAGCCATTTTAATTCTTTATCATTTGAAGTCCTAAGCAGAGAGTTTACAGATGGAATAACCTATGCTGCACTCAATTTTTGGGCCTGTTTGGGCAAGTTTTGTATCTTCTAGATACATCTTCTCTAGAATTTTACTACTCATTAAGGACCATATTTTGTTTCTAGAAAAACAAAATGTGTTGCTATTTGTATCCTGGCCTTGGCACCATTCATTTGTTAATTCCCTTTTTCTCCAGGTGCTGGAGTAGCCCTACTGAATGACCATATTTATGTGGTGGGGGGATTTGATGGTACAGCCCACCTTTCTTCTGTTGAAGCATACAACATTCGTACTGATTCCTGGACAACTATTACCAGTATGACCACTCCACGGTGCTATGTAGGAGCCACAGTGCTTCGGGGGAGACTCTATGCAATTGCAGGGTGAGGAATTAGAGACCAAGGTAACATCATGGTACATCTAGGGCAAGAGTTTCTGTGATCCAGTCTCTGTTTGTGGGTGGAGACAGAATTTGGGTGGCAGGACAGCTCCAGTGACAATGTTAATGAAGGGCATACCTAAAAAAGAATAAAAAACTCATTTCTTTTTTCTTCTTTCCCTGCCCCCAGATATGATGGCAATTCCCTGTTGAGTAGCATTGAATGCTATGACCCTATCATTGACAGCTGGGAAGTGGTGACATCCATGGGAACCCAGCGCTGTGATGCTGGTGTGTGTGTTCTCCGAGAGAAGTGACCACTGTTGGAGCACCATCCAGAGCTAGTGAAAAGTTCAAGGGACAGTTTGTGGGAGAATCAAGGATCCTTTCCAGAATGTCTTATTTTGCACTGTGTGCACAGGGTGATTACAGGCACCAGTGCAGTGGTGATTATTCTTATTTGAGACATATTCCTTCTCACACTGGTTATGTCCCTCAGAAGGGTGGATAACAAGATACTGAACAGGAGAGAATGAACATTGAATGAGTGTAAGGGACTGAATCCTTCTCCATCTGGTCTGAAGAGCACTCTCTTGTTGTTTCTAACTTCCCACATGCTTGGGAAAATATGTGTATGTTGTGCCTCACATATTGCAGAGAATGACGTGTGGACATTGTCCAACCTGGAAAATTGGAAGGATACCAGCTTAAGTAAGGTTGGTAACATCCAAGTATTTTTTTCTAGGAACAAATACCTTTTCTAATGTACAGGTAGGTAGGGGCACTACAGTTTCATTCTGAAGGACGAGGAGGGAAACCCATCATCATAACTTGGGCACCCAGAGGAGAGATTCATGTGATACTCCCTTGCTGATGGGGGACAGGGTTAGTATATCAGAACTGAAGTTAGAATAAATGACATGAGCTGAATTTGAGGGAATGTGAATGAACCTGAAACACCACTGAAGTATAACCTGGGAGACTGGGGAAGACATATTATTGGAAGGATGTTTTTATTTCTCCAAGGTCTTTCTAAAGTAGAATGTTGTACCTCTTGGCACTGAAAACTATGAGGGAATAACAGAGTGAACAGATACTGGGATGAGAGAAGATGGCATAAATGTAGGAGTTCAGTAGACCCGGGGACTAACTAGAAGTACCTGTGATTTTACAATTGTCTTGTTCCCTGCCAGGGCTCGGGTAGCCATGGCAGTGTTTATCTTGAATGGGTGAAAGTCTGTCTTTGTGGAACAAATACTACTATACCGGTACAATTACTATTTATTTGGGGATGGGGTGGGAGTGGCAGCAGCCTAGCAGTTCAGCTACCTGATCACTGCCCCACTTCTTTCAAGGGCACAAGTCTGCTAAAGAGTGGTTTTTACTGCTATGTTTGGTGCATTTAGTTTCTTTCCAGTTAGTTCCAGCACCTCTGCTGTGGTATACTGAGCTCCTTCGTTATGGAGTGAAGTTCTTGCTTTATGGATACTGCAAGTGTGGGAATTTGATAACTTAAACAAGGATGCATTTCCCCTTTGCTCTGGAACTCCATTTTTTCTCTCTTTCTCTGAGTTGTATTAACTGACAGAGTTCATTTCCTTTGTATTTTTTTAAGAAAATATTAAAATTGTCTCAAATGCCTTTATGAGTTTGTGCTAAGCAGCTCCTTTTTCAGCAGACATTTTGGGGGACAGGCATAAGGATTAGCTATAGTTTCCATCTTCAATCTGGTCACCTGTGTGTTTGCCAAACATCCCTGCTGTTTTTCCTTTAGACTCAGTTAAGAGGTTGCATTTTACTACCATGGAGTTCCTCATCAGTAAAATGTTTACCTGAATTTGCTGTATTCAGCCACTCTTCTCACGCTTGGGGTTTACTTGAAAACCAAAGAAAATGCAGAGGCATTCTTGAACTCTCTTACCACCCCCTTGCATTTTAGGGCTTTAGTCACCCCAGTTGTTTTATCTCTGCTTTATTCCACATGATATAAGCACCCATCCAGAATACCTGCAGAACTGCAAGAATCCTAATGTTCCCAGAGCAAAAGGGAGAAGCTCCAAGAGAAGGTCACTGCTGCTGAAGCAGCCTGCTAGCCTTTCTTTAGCAAATGAATTGTGCCTGCTAATTGAACCCCACCCTGTGCACCATGGCTCATCCTATCTAAGGAGGGAGCCCAAGAGGTACAGGGTGTGAGAGAAGTAGAGGTAGAGTACTGATGGCTCCTAGGCTCTCTCCAGTGCTGACTTTGAGTTTCAGAACAAACTCAAAAATAGTTTATAAACTGAAGCCACAACAGAATGTTCTACAGAAAAAACAACATGTTAAACTCATTGCTCCTTTTCTACTCTTTCCCCTGGTTTTACATGCTTTCAAATGCTCACACAGGGATACAGAAGTCCCCTAACTTGGCAGTTGCTTCTGTTTTTCTAGCTCCTGTAACTGGCAACCACCCACTTAGTTACCTAACCCAGGAAGACTTTCTTGTATCTGTGCTATCCTCATCACAATGTAAACATCAGTTATAGTTCCAAAGTTCACAATTTTGTCTTTTATTATTTTATTGTACCAAATGCATTAGCATTATTTTCATTCCTTCTGTTACCACATAGCTCAGTCTTTTGTGTTTGACTTAAGGTTAATATTCTGACAACCTTACTGCTACTGTTTCCTTCTTAATCTGCAGTCTTTCCATTTTGTCATTAGTTACCTTCCTAATGCTCAGATACGATTATTATAGTACTTAACATACAACAGATTATCACTAACTATTGAACAATTATTTCTGCCCCAAAGTTCCATAGATTTCTGCTGTCCATATTAAAAAGTTCAGATTCTTTAGCATGACTTTTAGACCCATGGTAATCTGGAATCATATCTTTTTATCTTACCTACTGTTATTCCTTCCCTTAGGCATAATGTGCTTCAGTTATTATACTGGTAGCCTTTCCTAAATTTGAGCTTACCCTGGTCGATGTATTATCCTATTCCCACTGAATCCTTGCTTTCCTGACAATCCTAGTTTTCTATATGTATTTACTTTGTTGTGATGATGGTGGTATTGGGGATTGAACCAGATGTCTTCATATTGAGGTACATTCTTCAGCCCTTCTTATTTTGAGACAGGGTCTCACAAAGTTGCTAAATAGCTCAGGCTGGGCTCCTCTTTCAGCCTCCCAGAGTGCTAGGATTACAGGACTGTGCCACCATGCCAGCCTGGTTTGTTACCTCTTAATGCCTAATTACAATGTCATCTAGGAAAAACCCTTTCTAACTGCCCAGCATTACTCCTCAATCCATGCTTCCATTCAGAGTTCTTTGTTCCTATGGTTGTTTTTATCACATGTGATTGGGTTTGAGTCCATACTATTTAGGCTATATTCTTATTCACAGAATGCCTGTTATCATATCCTTAGGGTGTGGTATAATGTCTGGTATATCATTACACTTTAGTATGCAACTAATGAAAGATGAAGAGAGAAAATGGTGCAGGTGATGTTGGATGGGTTAGACATTAAATCAGGTGATTTAGTTTCCCCTGCCCATTTCAGGAAACCCAGGGCCTATTGCACTAGAAATAAGCTGGAGCTGTAAAGGTGAATTAAATGGAATGAGAGAATATACTGTAATAAGAGCTGTGGCTTTGGAGTTGCCCCTGGATCTAAGGACCTAGAAAGTAAGCTCTCTGATCTTTTGTTTTCTTCAGCGTGCACTGGGAATAAAAGTGCAAACCCTACTAGGTAACTGTGATGATTTAACAGGTTTCCAAAAGCATTAAATGTTTTGCTGCATACTAAATAGCCAGGTGTGGTGGCACATGCCTTTAACCTCAGCATTTAGGAGGCTGAGGCAGGAGGATCGATTCAAGTTCAAGGCCAGCCTGGGCTACAAAGTGAGTTCAACACCAGCCTGAACGGCATAATGAAACTGTTTCAAAAAGATAAAAAAATAATCACTATATTTAGAACAGAGACTACCAATTAAAACTTCCACATCTTTTTCCAGCACCAAAAAGGTATAGACCCCTCCCTAAACTACTCCTACAGAGAGCTAATATAGCTAAACCTTGCAAGGGTGCCTTGCAAGGGTGGGGCACAAGTCCTTCCCAAAGTCCCTCCACACTACCCCCAATAAGGGCCCCATCCATTCAGGAGACAACTGAAATCTCAATAAACTAATGGGTAAGGCCATCCTTCATGTTGCCTGTTTAGCTCTTTATGCTGAAGGGAAGCCTGGTTGTTGTGGCAGACCATCATCAATGAAGAACAGAGTGACGCTTGCACTCGGAGAGGTGGAGGGAACCAGTTTTCTTACACCAGTGGACCCAGAGGTGCTTTAGCACTCTTAAGACCTGAGGCCCAAATGTTTCTTTTCATCCCTTTATAGGGAACCTGAGCAGGGGTGGAAGCAATGTTACAGAAGCAGAACAGAGCATGATTAAACAGCCTTTTTTTGTTTTTTTGAGGCAGAGTCTTGCTATGTAGTTCAGGCTGGCCTTGAATTCCCTAGGTTAGGTAGTCCAGGTGGGCCTTGAAGTCAAGGCGATCCTCCTGCCTTAGCCTCCGAGTGTTGGGATTACAAGAGTGCACCATCACGCCCAGCATCATTTTGTGTACATCTGCCATTTTGACCTTAGGTTTCAGTTTCCTTGAGTTTCATTGTCCTCATTTACCCCCTTTTTGATGCCCTATATATATAACCTTATAGGGCATCATTATCTCCTAGGGTCCTATATCTGTGGACTCAGGTAATACCTCTTCTGGTGACTGTGGTCTTTATGAATCTCATCAGAGTGCCCAGAAGACAGGGTCCTATTGTCAGAAGCAACAAAAAGGTCAACAGGGGCTCTGCCAAGGGCAATAGGCATGATGTCCATTAGCCTGGGCTCCAGTTCCAACCCTCTCTTAATTCTCCCTTGGATCCTGTCTCTCAGTTCTGACCTTTGTGGTGACTACTTCTGATTGGTTGACATAATAACATTCCTCTCCCAAAAATATACAAAGACCGCCCTTTTCAGAAGTGAGACGGTCTAGGGCATGCTTGTTTTGTAGAGTTACAGCTGCCAGTGAATTAATCTGATGCAGAGAGACTAGCAAGTCAACCACCCACTCCATATCATCGTTTGGCTCCTGAGACAGCTTATAACCCTAATGATGTCCCAACTCCACCCACTCCTGCCCCTACTTATGCTATTCCTGAGCCGATTAGAACCAAGGCCAGTAGAGGTCTTTTTTTTCCTTGAGCTGCTGCCAGGGAGTATCTAGTGATGTATATAAACTGCGACCTCAGGGGTGAGGAAACCTGGACACGTGCCAGTGCGGTTTCTCTGTAAGCAGTGGAGGGCGGTGTTTCCACACAGGTGAAACACATGAGAGAGGGCTGTGTTGGGTTTCATTATTCAGCAGTGTCTGGTTCTTGATGCAGACTGAGTAGGGTATGGACTCGAGGGACTCATTTTTTGGACCAGACTGGGGGCTGTGAGGGTACCTCAAGTTGTACCCTCAGGTGTCAAGGAGAACATCAAGTGCCATTGTGTGTTTCTGTTCTGCCCTGGGGGACCTAATCAGTAAGTTTCTGTTCTGCCCTGGGGGACCTAATGGGAAGCTCCAACTGGCTGGGACTGGGGTCCCCACATAGGCTGTTTTTTGAAGAGGCAAGGACAACCAGCAGAATTGAGACCTACTGAGCTCTGTACTGTGAGGAGACTAAAGGAGGTGTTCAGGAGCCAGCAGGTCTGAAGGCTGGGGTCAGTGAACTGGGATGGCTGGTGGAGGCCAGACAGATCTGTACCCCAGTATGGCTGTTTTTTGGCTCCCAGATCCAAGTTTACCAGCTGTGTTTGTATTTCTTTTACCTATTTATGGAATGTACTGTCCTGAGCTCCTCCCCATCAAACATGCCCACATGAGTCAGGTAAGTCCAACATGTTGCCTCTCCATGGTGGTTATAGCAAGTTGACTCTTGACCTTTGATTTGGCTAGGCCAGAAGAGCCTATCCTTGGGGCTGTGGTCATCAGTATATTGGTATAGGGTGGCCATCTCATAGCAAGAGGCTGGCATGTAGGTGTAGGAAATAAATCCAGTAACTTGTCATCTGCCAGTGGTCATTGGGTGATTACAGGCTGTGAAGCACAGGGGAATTACAAATCGAGAAGCCATAGTTTCCAAGGCCTAAGGAAGACCAGCAACCAGAGCCACTTGATGTAGCCTGAGGGTCTAGGACCTTTTAAGTTCAAGCAGTCTGGATCAACCAAGTTTTGGGAGCCAGGGGACTAGTTCAGTGAAGGGCTGGAGTCTGGAATGTTGTCCCATCCTGTAAGGGTTGTGACTCAGGCAGGCAGTCTCCTTCTGGAGTTGGGTCTTCAGGGGATTGTGTGGGTCAGGACGCATGGTCCAGGTGGCTGGGAGGTCCATCTTCAACACAGACTGAATCCCCTAGCAGAAATGAATGTACAGGGCTACCTGAGATTAGAATCCTCTTAAGGACAGCCTTATTGATGTGGGAGAACAGTTTTCCTAAGGCCTGCAAGTCAGCAGATTTGATTCTCCTAGCTATCTGACATCCCCTTTGAGGGCTCTAATTATGGGAGACGGCCTCCCAAATGGTTTTGTAGGGAGAGTAGCCCGATGACCCCAGTGTACATTGGGCCCATATAGGGCCAGGGGAAGCATATCAACCCCCTGGGTTGGGTCTCTTGACAGAATATGGCTAGAGTAGTGTTCAGGGTATGATTCATGTGGTTGACTTTCCCTGAATTCTGATGCCTATAAGCTGTGTGGAGATACCATCTGATCTTCAGCAGATCCTCGAGAGTCTGTTATTTCTGCTATGAAGGCCAGTCCACTGTCCCTCCCAGTAGTGAGGGGGAGCCTGTACCAGAGAGTGATTACCTGTAGTAAAACCTTGGCCACTTCTTAGGCTTTTTCCATCCATATGGGTATGGCTTGTATCCAGCCTTAGTATGTACAGATGAGAACTAGCAGACGTGTAGCTGCGGCATGGCTTTACCCCTCTGAAATCTTATCTCTGAATCTTCAAAGGGGGAGGTCCTGGTGTGTTGTATTCTTGAAAAAGGCTTAAATTGCTGGAGGGGTTTGTTCCAGGCACAGGTTTGTCATTGGTTGCTTATGGTGGCACAGAGACAATAGCCAGGGAATGTAAAATTATTGGCCCAATAATGTCTCTGAGGCTGTCTTTCCCGAATGGGTCAGTTGTGACATTGTTGGACCAAGGGAAAAGCCATTCTCTGGGGAACAAAGGGAGTCTGGTTGGGTAGGCACCACCATTCTCCCAAGGTTTTATAAGCCTTTTTTCTCTGGGCCCATTGATCTTCTGGAGAATACCCTGGTTCCTTAGAGTGTGTGGGAGCCATTAATATTTTGGGAGGTCTTTGGGTTGGGACTGGTTTGTCTCCTCAGGCCACTTTTCTAGCTGACTTATCTGATTTTTTTTTTTCTTTGTCTTTTTGAGACAGGGTCTGCTATGCAGTTAAGGCTGGCCTTGAGCTCACTCTGTAGCCCAGGCTGGTCTCGAATTCACAAAGCTCTTCCAGCCTCAGCCTTCTGAGTGCTGGGATTACAGGCTTGTGCCACCACGCCTGGCTTTGATTTCTTTAGTAATAGAGTCATTTCCTTTTTGGTACCCCTGACAGTGTATGATGGCCACCCTCTTAGGTTCCCAGACAGCTTCCAGGTATTGGAGTATCTCATCTCTGGTTTTTATTTCTTTTCCTCCAACAGTCAGCAATCCTTTCCTTATATATAGCTCTGTGAATATGGACCACAGCAAAGGTATATTTTGAGTCAGTGTGAATGTTAACTATCTTTCCCTTTGCCCACCTGAGGGCCCAAAGCTCAGTCCTGAGCTGACCACCCTTTTGGGAGAGGACCAGTCTCAATGACCTGAACAGTAGTGACTGCATACCAGACCAAATGTTCTCCATAGCTGCTGCCACCCATGAACAGATTTGCATCTGGGTACATCGTTGTCTGGGTACATCAGTGAACTCTGGTTAATTGACAAACATTTCATCAGTGACTTCTTTGAAGTCATGGTCTGGGAGTCCTTCCTTGGTCAGCAGGAAGGTAGCTGGGTTTAGGGCTTAAATGGTCTCAATAGAGTGATTCAGTGATTTTTACAGAGAAGTCCTTGATACTGGGTCATTCTGGCCTGGGATAGTCATTTGTGTCCCTGCTTATTCATGACTGAGTGGGGGAGTTTGATTCAAAAGGCTTGTCTCAAGGTTAATGTGTCAGCCTCTTTAATGAGGGTGACTGTTGCTGCCAAGGCCTAAAGGTGGGGAGGACATCCTGTTGCAACAGCATCTAGTTGCTTAGATAAGTAGGTTACTTGCCTCTTATCTAAGCTGGTTGGAAGGTCCAGTCATCTGAGTTAAGCAGTATAACTTTTTTCCACAGGCAGAGAAGTTAAATTCTCTATTTACATCGGGTAGTCCTAAAGCCAGGGCACAGGTGAGCAGCTTGTGATCTCTTTGAAAGTCTCCTCTTGTTCCCCTATTCAAGAGGTTTTTCTTGTGGTTTGGTCAGTGCTGCATATAGCAGCTTAGGCTTCTTGGAGAACCCAGGTATCCATATACAACAGAACCTGGCTGCCCCTGAAAATTCCCAGCCTTTTTCTGTTGTTGGGCTTTAGGATGGAGCAAATAACTCATTTTCTGTCAGGCACCAGGCAGTGTCCCACTGTAATGATAAATCCCAGGCATCAGACTTGCAAGACACCTTACGTCTTCATTACTTTTCTTTTGTTGCAGAGAGAAAATACACAACACCCAGAGTTAAAGGAGAAAAGGTTTATTTAGCTTTCAGTTTGCAGAGGTTACAGTCCACATCAGTTGGTTCCAAGGCAGAGTGGCATGGCAGAGGGGCAACAGTTCATGGCAGCAGCAGACAGCAAAAGCAACAAAACAACAGTTCATGGCAGCAGCAGACAGCAAAAGGGAGATGCAAGCCTCTTTCCCCCCTTATATTATGCAGGCTATGGTGTGTATACCTGCACTATGGTGTGTATAGCACTCACACCCCCAATCCCAGTACTAGACAGTGAACCCATCACCAACTCTAGATTCAGCCACCTCCAAAAAACCCACCCACCCCCATGACTGCATGAGGCTTTGGGGGACATCCACACACAAACTGTAACACCTTGTATTCTGTGTCCATTAGCAACTGTAAAAGGGTTCTTGTGCCTCTTCCAACAGTGCCCTTCCTCACTTGCCAGTAAGAGGTCATCTACATACTGCAGTAAAATGCAATTCACTTTTTCTCTTGGGAAAGTGGCCAGATCTGCAGCTAGGGCCTCTCCAGACAAGGAGAGTTTTTGAAGCCCTGGGGAAACCTTGTCTAAGTCAACTGGGTCTTCCAACCTGTATTGGGATCTTCTCGTTCAAAGGCAAATACAGGGTGGCTTTGTGGGGCCAGGTGAAGGCAGAAGAAGGCATCCTTGAGATCTAGGCAGGTGAAGCATCAGGCTCTAGTTGGTGGCTGGGCTGAAGTAGCTCTTGGTCTAGACTCATTGACTCAGCTTCTTCTGCAACAGGTAAGTCAGGCTGATCAGGTGAAGGCGGGGGTCCAATGAAGGATGACTATCTGAAAGGCCGTGGCTGGAATGCCAAAGGTGGCAAGGGAAAAATATGGGAAGGGGTGGAAAGGACTCCTGATGAGTCCTGATGAATTGGTTTCCTGTGAACCTTTGGGGCTTGACTTGAAACTTGGGTGATGAAGGCCTTACTCTGCCCCTTTCCAATCTTTGAGAATGGGCCAAAGTGGGGAAGGTCTGGGCAACTTGTAGCCAAGGGTCAATATATGGGAACTGGTCAGGAGGGCTCTGTCTACCCATGACTGCCTTCCAGACTGCCCACAATACATGGACATCCAGGTCCCTTCAGGAGGCCATCCTATGTTGTTAGGCCCAGTCTACCTCACAAAGGGTTCTTAATTTATTGGGTTTCAATTTAACATCATATCCTCCACTAAATTCATGAAGGTTTTTGAGCATGCAGTGGGTCTGGCCTGCATAGACCCTACATTCTGAGGTATGTTGTCCCCGTGAATGGTGGTGCAAGGAAGGAGGGAAGTCCCCAAAGGACACCACTTAAGAGGCCCACCTTGCCACGACCCTTGAAGGAACTTAAGTGGGACTTGGCAAAGCTATACCCTCATAAACCCAGGCCTGGTCAGTCCCCAGTTATGGGGGATGAATCACCATTATGGGTAGGACGTCGCCACAGAAAGGCATTTTAGGGCCCACTGGGACTCCGTAGCTTATGCCGGTGGGGCTACAAATATGTTCACACGCACTCACACTGTCATCCAGAGGTCAAGACATCCCTTCCCCCTTCTGGGAGATCCCTGAGGTCTCTGGCTAGACCCTGGGAGGTGATTAGACTCTCCTGTACTTGGACGGGTCTGACTTGGGACAGCCCAGGGCCTTACCTGTCCCGAAGCTGCACCAGGGGGCGGGCCCAGCCCTCCACTGAGTCCGGTAGGGAGAAGTTGGTGCGACCAACGGTTACCCTCCCCCGATGAAGAAGGTCTGGCCAAAGTGGGGGCAGGCCGCCGTCTGGTTCCCCTTACTCCGACGGGTGGCGCCATGGGCGAGCTCGGTGTTTCCCAGTCAGACACCTCACCCCTAAAGAACCGAGCGGCACTCGGAAAGGAGAGGTGGAGGGAACCAGTGTTATTACACCGGCGGGCGGGCCCAGAAGAGCTTAGCAGTCCAAGGTCTGGGCTCCGAACATTTCTTTTCATCTCCTTACATAGGGGTCCCGAGCAGGGCCGCAAGAAACGTTAAAGAAGTATAACAGGGCGTGGTTCAACAGCCATTTTGCACACATCTGCCATTTTGACCTTAGGTGTCGGTTTCCTTGAGTTTCTTTCCTCAGCAGGGTGATCAGGAGGGTATGCAGACAAAGGACTTGTCACACGGGTCCCAGGAAGTGTCCCTGTCACAAAGCGAGCCGACACCTTGCCGCTGGGATTGGACGGTAGCAGCGGGCGCTTGCGTAGCAGAGCCCTGCGCCGAAGCGGACGCCTGCGCAGAGGCGGAGAGAGTGCGCTTGCGCCCCGCCCCTGCCGAGTCGCGCCCGCGCAGTGAAGAGCGGCCGAGTAGAGACAGCGCCTGCGCGGTCGTAGCCGAGGGGGGCTGTCGAGGTGGTGGCGATGGAACCAACAGGGCAGCTGAACGAGTTAGTGTCAGCCGAGGGCCGAAACCGGAAGGCGGTGCTGTGCCAACGTTGTGGCTCTCGCGTGCTGCAGCCAGGGACCGCTCTCTTCTCGCGCCGACAGGTAGGGAGGCAGGTTAGAGGCCGCCTACACCCTCACCCTTCCAAAGAGGCCGGAGCGCTCGAAGTCGCGAGCCCCTACAGCTAGCTTTCGGGGACCGCGCCCCTGCTCACGAGGTCCTTAAGCCCCGCCCCCCCGGCGCGAGGCCCCGCCCCGGGCTCCCCGCGCCGAGACTCCGCCCCTGCGTTCGCGGGCTGCTGCGGATGGGAGGTGCAGCTTCGGGCTGTGGAAGTCTTTTGCCACTGAGGACTTTCTGCACCGGCGGTGGCCGCGGTGCATCCGTGCCTGGCTAGTCTGTAGGAGACCTCCCCGCCCCGGCCTTGCCCGGGGTCTCCCGAACTTTCGCCCTGCGCGCCCAGTCCGGTTATTGGGTGCTGCTGGAAGGGGTGCACCCAGCCCGCAGTCTCTTGAGAGCTCGGCCCGACCTACGGGGTCCGGCAGGTGCACCCGGCACTGCCGTGCAACTTCACTCCTGTCCACATCAGGTCCCACCTACGAGGCCGTCCTCACCGCCTCATTTCTGACAGTCAGCTCTCTGCTCCGCAAACTTCTTTGGCGTGCCGGATACATAAAGTAACCCCGGGTGCACGTTTTGCCAAGGCACTGCAAACCAGTTTTCGGGACGAATCATATTTCAAATTCGATATATATTTATAGAGTACCGGAAATAAATTTCAAAGGAAGATTAATTCTTACCTTCAGGGGCCGGGGATATGGCTCAGCGATACAAGCGCCTGCCTGGCAAGCGCAAGGTCCCGAGTTCGATTCCCGGTGCAAAAAAAAAAAAAAAGTCTTAATTCTTGCCTTCAGGTTAGGACTTTAAATGTCCTTCCTATCACCCCTGAGAAAGTTGAAACAAAGTTTCACTTTGGTAAACTTTTTATTCAAGTGTGACCCGTAAGACAGTGCAAAATATAACCTCATTTCAACCAAGTGCAATTTCTTTCACCTAAAATGATTTGTAAAACTGAGCAGATTATTTTATTATTTGGTGTGGTTGAACAGAGGGTGAAATAGGAGCAAGAAGTACCTATTTCTCCAAAAACAGAACCCTTTTCATAAAAGAAGGGAAATTACTTCCTTGTTCCATAGGATTGTGGTGACTTTCAGTCTGGAGAAGATTGGTGACCCCTCCCCTTCCCCTTCAAGACTTACAAGGATTGGGAGTAAAACTCTCTAAATGACATCATGGAAAAGTGGAAAACACGTGGATTCTTGAAATTGAAACATGTGTGGAATTGAATCATGACCTTTTCATTCTTTAACATTGGAGAGATTTTAACCTCCCCGAATTTGAGGTTACTCATTCTGAAAACTAAAGGTGACAGTATAAGGCCGAATTTGTGTGAAAGCATGTAGCACTGTACCTACTATATAAAACATACCATAGTTCATGTACATTTGCCCATGGCAAGGTTGTATACTTTTTTAAACTGGTGAGATTAAGTGGTTCTTTACTGAAATTTATAGCTTATAAATTCTTAACTCGTGTGTGTGTGTGTGTGTGTGTGTGTGTGTGTGTGTGTAGTGCTGGAGATCGAACCCAGGGCCTTGTGTATGCAAGGCAAGAACTCTACCATTGAGCCACATCCCCAGCCCTTAAATTCTTAACTCTCATTGGATATAATTTATAATAAATTGATGTTGCCAAAAGCATGTGACCAAATTGAATTATACGTATTACATATCTTTTCCTATTTTTCAACAGCATAGCTGCTATTCTAGAAAGAAATCTAGGAATTGTTTTATATGTTGTACTTTTTTCCCTGTTTAAAAAGATAAAAAGGTTTTTTTCATTTGTCTCCTTGTTTTGTTTGCTTGTTAGGCAGGTGCTGTATCACTGAGCTATATCCCAGGCCCTCCTTTTTTGTTTCCTTTGGTTTCCTTTTACCTTGGCTTCAGCGCTTCTACACTTGACCAGTTTTGTTTTTGTTTTCTGTAAGGTTTTTTTGTTTTGTTGTTTGTTTGTTTGTTGAGACAGAGGCTGTAGTTCAGGCTGGCTTTAAACTCATTATGTAGCTCAGGCTGGCCTCGAACTTGCAGCATCCCCCTGCTTCCCCCTATGCTGGGATTCCAGGCTTGCATCACTACATCTTGCTCCTGTTGCTTGAAAAGCCCTGTGGGAAACATCCTGTTCCCTCCATCTGCTCTGTGCCTTATACTTCAAGGAAAAAACTTCTAAAAGTTCCTGCTCTTACAGAGAATAATTTACAGTTTGAAGGGAGCCAAACGCCTTCACTGAAACCCTGTAAAACTTCATGGTAACTCTTTCTGGTTAAACTTGAAATGTTGCAAAGAAACCACCATGCAGGGACTATAGCAGGGCTGTTACTCACTATATGAGTGTTAATGAGGTGCTACCAGCCATTAAATAACCCTGGAGAAATGTAGGATACAGGGAGGCTTCGCTAGAGGTGGCTCAGAGCATTCTCAGCCCACCCAGGAAAGCAGCCTAGTAGTCTCCAAATGGGGAAAATTTGAGAACTAGACTCTGCCAGTCTCACCTTTGAGACTGTCTAAAGCTCAGTGGTCACTGTACATAGTTCTTTAGTTGAAAGCAGTATGTTTCTCACCTGGAGATCACTTCATTCCCCAAAGAAAAAATTGAGAGACATGTCCGGAGACATTTTTGGTTGTCAAAGTTGAGGAGGGGTGCACCTGGCATCTAGCAGGGAGAAGCTAAGGATGCTGCTTAGCATTTGTAGAGTGCGTAGGCCAGCACCCTCAGTAAAGACTTCTCCATCCTGAGTTTCCAGTTGTTCCAAGGCTAAGAAACTGTTGTCTAAAGACTGCAAAGCACTCACCCATCATTTCACTTGACCTTAGTTTTTTATACTATTTGTTGCTTATTGTGTTCTGTCCACATCTGTACCTCCCATACCTAGACTGTACAAATAAGTGACAACTTAGGAAATATTTGGATTTAAGTAAATGAATGAAAAAAAGCAGTAAAAGTCGGTCCAGGTAAATGATGGGTTAGTATGAACACAATGGCTCAGTAGGTTTAGTTGTTAGACACTGTCACTCCACTGTTTGTGCAGAATGGGGTAGTGCCATAGGACTGGTTTCCTGTGTGAAGTGTTCCTACTTCTGAAGTTGGTATGGGTTGAATAGTCCTAATTCAAAATGTTTGGGATCAAAAGTACTTTATAGTCCAAATTTTTTCAGATTTCAGAATATTTGCAAATACACAATGAGCTATCGTCAGGCTGAGATCCAAGTCTAAGCATGAGACTCTGATTTCACAGACACCTTTCTACATAGCCCGAAGGTAATTTGATGCAGTATGTTTAGTGTGTCTGTGTCTTAACTGTGACCAGTCGCGTAGGATCAGGTGTGGAGTTCCCAATGTGACATCGTGTTGATTCTAAAGTTTCAGGTATTGGAGCATTTCAGATTAGATTTTTGGATTAAGAAACCTGTTACTTCTCATAATCTTCTCTAAAGCTTTTGGTGGAAGAGACTATAATTAAACCAAGAAGGGGAGAGTGAAAAGCAATGTCTGTTTCATTGTTGAGGAAATATGTATGGTATATTTGAAGAACTGGAAGGTTCCATTTTGGCCAGAACACAGAGTATGGTAGAAGTGGCAAGGAGCAAGGGTGAGGGAGATACGAAGCGATTGGAATGCAAGAGACACCGGAGCCAGGGGGCGGGTCCTCTCCGTGGGACAGAAGCCTTTGGTAGGGGATAGCATACAGGGTCAGAAAGACGAGCCAGGTGCCACCTAGGCTGCGGTGGCTCAGAAAGTGGCCAGAGTGTCTTCACATGACTGGGAGGCATCAACAGGTGGCAGATGCCTGAAGGAAGCAAAGTGAACACAGAGAGAAGTTTAGGAGCAAGAACACAGGTTTCTCTTACCAGATTCTAAAGACACAGGCTGTCAGTGAACGGACAGCAGCCACTGAAGAGGCTGGGGGGTTGTCCTCAGCAGTAGCCTCATTCTTACCACCAGTGTAAAAGGAAACTGCACAGGATTGGAAAATGTAGGTAAAGGGAAGTGACATTGTAGAAGATAGTTGCTTGCTCTTTTATCTTTTTTAGCAAGGCAATGGAACATTGCTTTGTGGGAAAGAAGGTATAGAAGAGTGTTGGGATGAGAATATGAGAGCAGAAAACCTGACGGCGGTAATCAGGGCAGTTTCTTTTTTTTTTTTTTTGGTTTTTCTCCGGTACCGGGAACCGAACTCACGACCTTGTGCTTGCCAGGCAGGTGCTTTTGCCGCTGAGCTAAATCCCCAGCCCCTCAGGGCAGTTTCTTATAAAAGTAAACTTAATAGGTGACCCAGAACTCTGGCATCTTTTTTTCTCCAGAAAAATGAAATCTGTATACAAATGTACATAACAGCTTTCCTCATAATAGCCAAATGGGATTCATCTCAGATGTCCTGCAACAGGTGAATGATTAAACATTGGTAATATGGAGCATACTCAGAAATAAAAATGGAACGAGCTGTTCATACGCACATCTTGCATGAATCTCTAGGAAATAATGCTGAGTTAAAAAACCAAAAAGCCACTTGTAAAGTCAAACTTTATCGTTTTATTTCTACAGATTTTTGAAATGAAAAATTTTAGAAACGGAGACTAGATTAGTGGTCATCAGGGGAGAAGAATGGGACATTGGTGAGCATGGTTATAAAAGGGGAATGGGTCAGGCAAAGTGGTGCATGCCTGTAATCCCAGCACTCAGTAGGCTGAGGCAGAATTGCCGTAACGTCAACGCCAGCCTAGACTTCATAGTGAGACCCTGACTCAAAAAAATAAAAGGGGAACCTGAGGGGTCTTTGTGCTGATGAAATAATTCACACTGTGGACTGATGGTAGACACAGAAACTAATGTGTGATAAAATTACATAGAACTAAACACAGATACACTCAAGACAACTGGGGAAATCAATTAAGATCTATGGATTGTATCAGTATTTATGTCTTGCTTTTAATGTTGTACTATAGCTTTGTACAATGTTATCTTTGGAGAAAACTGGGTCAGAAGTACAGTGCATGGAATTGCTGTATTGTTCTTATAACTACATGTGAAACTGCAATTATCTCAATAAAACTTTCATTTGAAAAAATCAAGACATTATATTCAGTGAGATAAGCCAATCACATAGGGACAAGTACTGCACAATTCTGTACAGATCTGTTGGGTTCTTGCTGTACCCCGGGAAGGAACAGCGGCAAGAATGAAGAAAAAATAGACAAGAGACAAAAAGCTGGGATTAGGTGGAGGTCCTCTGTTTCTGAGCGGACAAGGGGAACTGCCCAAGAACAGTAAGATCAGAGAGCGTTTATTTATGCCCTCAAGAGGCTGGTTAATTTCAGCCTGTCTGCCTAGCAATCAGTTAACAAGCTACAATGGCTTGTTTCCGTGCCTCCGTGCTTCAAGGAGCTCCCATGTTCTCGGGCTGGCTTCTTCCTGCATGTGTAATTACTGTCCAGCTTCAACCGCTCCCAACACAATTCCACTTCTGTAAGATGCTGAGAGCAGTCAGATTTATAAAGACAGAAAGCAGAATAGTGGTTGCTGTCTTCCAGCCCAGTAAAGGGGAAATACAGTTTAATGGGTACAGAATTTCAGCTTGGGAAATGAGAAAGTTCTGGAGATGTTGGCCATGGTAGCACGACTGTCTGAATGGACTTAATGCTACTAAACTGTACGCTTAAAGTAGTTAAACCGGTATATGGTGTCTCTCACCACACACAGAGACACACAAAAAAACAAGAGCCCAAATGGAGTATGCCTGTCAGCTCTGCTCTTTAACAGTGTCGGCCCTAGAGTGACTCGCAACAACAGTGTATCCGCCGAGGAACTAAAGGCTTGACTGGGCCACACTGAGAGAACTGGCTAAGTAGTTCTTTGCATCCTGCTGTCGGGGGGTCGTCCCAAAGCTTCTCCCCTTGCAGGGCTCCCTGTGGGCTGGAAAGATTAGGAACCTGGCTACTGAAAGGGACTTTGGGGGGATCTGTGTCGAACATCTTTCCACATGGTCTCCACACAGCACCCTCAGGGTAGCCAGACCTCTCACATACTGGCTGACACCCCCAGAGCAAGTGACATCAGAAAAACTGCAAAAGCCGCATGCCCTTTCTACCCTGCCTTGTCACTTCCGCTGCGGTCATTGAGCATCCTTTGTGCCTGCCCACACTCAAGGGGAGGGGAATGGGCTCCACCCAGTGAAAGGATTGTCAGAGATCTGTGAACATGTTTTAAAACCACCACACACACTCACAGAAGGACTCTCTGTTGTACCGGCTTTTACTCTCATCTGTTTTGCATCATGCTTGCCAAGTTTCATATGAGAATGTATTTTTACAATGAGAAAGGAAATATTTTATTTTTAAAAGGGTACTAAAAAGAAAAAGGGTACTGTGGCCAGGCAGAGTGGTACACACCTGTAGTCCCAGCACTCGGGAGGCTGAAGCAGGAGGATTGCCATGAGTGTGAGGCCAACTTGAGCTACCTAGTGAGTTCAAGGCCCACCTGCACTGTAAAGCAAGAGCCTGTCTCAAAAAGTAAAATAAACAAATAAATAAATAAATAGGTACTGTGAACAGTTACAATAAGTGAAACTCACTGCCTGATGTTTTACTTCTGAAGAGGCCATCCATGATAATGGACTCTCACTAACTAGCTGTGGTTCTGAGAGCAAAGAGAACTTATCCGGGGTTCTCACTGCTAATTTCAGTTCCCAACTGAGACAGCTCCCCCCAGTTAGACTTTTATGTTAATTTTTTTTTATTTTTTTTTTGTATCAGAAATCAAACTCAGGGCATTATGCTTGCCAGGCAGGTGCTATATCGCCTAGATTTTTTTTTTTAATTTCCACCCCAGTAGTCTATCTAGAAAGCTGTCTTAGTTACCTTTCTTTCACTCCTTGCTGAGACAAAATACCCACACCCAAAATTAAGGAAGAAAAGGTTTATTTTCTGTTGCCCAGAATTAACGAAGAAAAGGTTTATTTAGCTCACCATTTGTGGAGGTTTCAGTCTATAAGCAGCTGGCTCCAAGGCAGGGTCACCCATCAGAAGGGTGGGGCAAACGTTCATGGCTGGTGGAGGAAAGCAGCAAAAACAAGAGCAAAAGCCAGGAGACCAAGCCTCTTTTCCTCCCTCCTATTGTAACCAGGCTAACCCCCCTGGGGTGGATGTAGCACTCACACATGCCCTCCTCTTGTACAGGCTCAGGGTGTTTACAAAGTGAGGGCCCTGGCCCCCTGCTGAGTCACTTAGTTAAACTTCTAAACTGTCTCAGGTTGACACAGTGAATAGGGCATGTCCTCCACACCCTAGGATGTGAACTGCAGAGTTAGTTACTTAGTTAACCTTCTAGACTACACAATGTATCAACCATTACAAAAGCCTTACTCTCCAAATTTCATATCCAAGTAACTGGCCCCAGTAGTTGTCTGGGCCTCTGGAGATCCAAACCAAGTAAGTTGAAGTCCAGGCCGTAGGTACAGAGTTGTGGGTCTGACTTACAGGATCTAAATACAAAGGGGCATGTTAGGGACTGGAGAGAATGGAGCCCAAGGGGATGCCGAGTGGCAGTTAACAATAGCAGTGGCTTATGTCACTATACTCTGCAGAGGAGCACTTTGAGCTATAATCAGCAATAGGAGAAGGGGGCTGCTGCTCTTCATTGGGGAAAATTCCTGAAAACTAATGCTTAGGTGTTCTTTGGCCTTCTCTTCATCTTGTTGGATACTCTAAGTTCTTGGTTGAGTTTCTTAAGTAGTTGCCACAGGTCTACTCTGCTTCTGTAACATGTAACCTCAACACCTAAAATATAGTGGGCAGGCCAGAAATAATTTCGAGGGAAACTAAGGCCTACAGAAAGTTATTGCAGATATGGCTGCATTCTTGGTCTTCTGAATTTTGATTTCCGTCTGTCTTAAACTCTGCCTGTTTCCATGCTCAGGGAAAACATGCACATCAAGGACATATTTAACCTTCAGGTCAGGCAAACAGGGTGACCGGAATTACAGGGTAGCAGGAATAGGAACTATATTTTTTTGAGGTTCTCAGGTCGCACTGCACAGATACTGCACCTATTTTAATAAGCTAAGTGCTTAGCACATGGCGAGTAGGAATGTCCTAGGTCAGGGCTCTGTACTTCACTCCAGGGCTCCCCTATTGCTACACGGTAGGCCAGGCTCAGAATGGCTACCTCTAGTGTATTTAATGCACGGAAGTGTAGACTTCTACACTGCAGTATGAGGAGAGGCTTATCTCAGCCTTACTTAAACATTTACCTTTTGGAGAGTAATATCAGTCTAGTTTTTTAAATTTTAATTTTTTTATTTTATTCTGGTTGCATGTGCCACACTGTTCTATTAGAGTTTGGAGCTACCTTAGAATGTATTGTGGTATAGGAAATAAGTTACATGACAGCAACCGAGAGCAACAGGATACCAAGTTTTGCTTGTTTTGTATTGCGTAGGTGTCTCAGGCAACTACAGTGTGTACAACCCACATGGAAGAATTTAAAAGACTGTGTGATGTGTCCTGGATTCCATCCATAGCACCATAGAAAAAATGTTAAATAATAAAAATTTTAAAATACAGTGGGCAGTATTGTTAGGACAGAGGGTTCTCTTCCTGAGAACCTGACATTTGAGCTAAATACCAAGACAGTGCTTCCCTTGCCAAGATCTGAGGGCTGAGCAGCCTTACGCTGGTCAAGGAAGCAAGAAGGCCAGTGTGGCTGCAGCACAGAGCCAGGGAGAGACGGGGACCATGTTGGGCTCCGTAGGCTGTGGTCAGTGCAGCAGGGAAGCCACAGCTGGAGCTCCTCTGCTGTCTCTCGGCCCCAGCACGGGCACAGAAGAGCCTCACACGTGCTAGTCTTACCTGTAGCCTGAGGAGACCGTGCCCCTGCCACCCCTCCTGTTCCACAAAGCTGCTCAGCAGGAGTGTGAGAGTAAAGTGTGATAGGATGAGGGTGATGAGGTGCGGGTTCAGCTTGTGTGTTCCTCCTGTTCTCTTCCACTGCAGCTGTTCCTTCCGTCCATGAGGAAGAAGCCAGCCCTGGCTGACGGCAGCAATCCTGACGGTGATCTCCTCCAGGACCACTGGCTGGTTAACGACATGTTCACCTTTGAGAATGTGGGCTTCACCAAGGACGTGGGCAACATCAAGTTTCTGGTCTGCGCAGACTGTGAAATTGGACCCATTGGCTGGCATTGCCTAGACGACAAAAACAGTTTCTATGTGGCCTTGGAACGGGTTTCTCATGAGTGACCTAGGAGATGGGGACTCAGCTCTACCCTCAACTCTAAAAGAACTTGGTGTAACTGTTGTGCTGCCGATTTCTCTGTACTCTGTAAGATAAATGATGAGCACCAACATACACACTCGAACGCATAGAAGGCCAGCCCTGCTTCCCTCCAGCCCCAGTGCATGCCTCCTGCTTAGTCACTTCGCATCACAGCATGTCCTAACTTCCTCTCCCCCAGCCTTGGGACACTCGAACTCCACACATCTGTTCTCATCGCTGGCCTTCGGCTTAGGCTCTAGTCTGCCCAGGGTTCTCTTTTTTCTGCTCTAAAAGAGCAGTGATCAGCTTTTTAGCCATGATAACACATGACAAAAGAGTCTCATGCTGATAGTAAAAACTTCACCTTTTCACTTTCATTCAAGGAAACATGCAAGTACCTGAGAGTGATTTTGTTGTATGACTAACCTAGTTATCTACAGGAATTTGCTCCTTGTAAAAGTAAAACATTTACAAACTTGAGTATTTAAACCAATAATAAGAAGCACATTGCTTTGGGTACAATCTAATAAATACCATGGGTGAGAGCCTTAAATCTGGGATCATATGGACAGTTTTATTGTGAAGATGTATATGGCCCTTTTTCCTTTCAAATCTTGGTATGGTTTCTCTTTTTATTAACTCCTTAACTGCTATAGCCAATTGTCAGTACCACTCAAAACTCAGCCCTCGCTGTTACAGGGCTCTCTTGGAGTCAGAATAGAGTAAATCGTAGGATATATGAGGGATGGGTCTTTGCCAGATAATACCTGATGTCTCGGTTATCTCATTTGGACAAGTTGCTCTCTTCCTTTGTTCTTAGGGAAGACTTCTTTAGTAGATGGTATCATTTGCTGAACATATTAAGTATGGCCCTCAGAGTTTTGGTTCAGTTAGACTCTATACCATCCCAGAATGTAATTTTTTTGTCCTCAGATTTCTATTTCTATTGCTACACAGTTGCTCTGACTTTTTAGTATTAGTAAATTTATTTAAGTCTTCAGCATGAGTTTGTCATTCTGTCATTTCTGTTGTGAAATGACTCGCCATCATACAAGGAATCTGTATAACCAGGTTTCAGATGTCCCCATCATCTGTAGCTCTGGGGGCCTAAAACTGAAATAAGGACCAAAAAAGAAGCCCTTTCAGCTCCCTTCCTTTGCGTTTGTCTTGCAGTTGCTTCTTCATTTCAGAGTTTCTGGAGGGCTACCCTACTAACATGCAGGCCTTGGGCACAGTTTTGCAGCCAACCTACTTGCCCAGAAAGGTGGCTTTCTTCCCAATCAGAGCCTGAATGAGCTCCTGCAGAAAGGGAGAGACGTTTTCGGCACAAATGGTAAAACTCACATTGTTATGGTATGTGTAGGAAAACAATTACCCAACAGGTCAGAAAGAGCAAGCCAAGTAGATGCCCTCTAGGGGGCGTATAATCCCTGACATCGCAAGCCAAAACCTAAACTAAGAATTTTCTTAAATTAGCCTTCAGCTTGCTTTCTCTCTCTCTTTTTTTAATCACAGAAATAATAGGTGATTAAAAATGGGTGTAAATTAATGTTTATCCAGGTATGATGGCATACATCTGTAATCCCAGCACTTGGGAGGCTGAGGCAAGAGAATCGCTGTGAGTTTGAGGCAGGCTTGGGCTACATAGTGAGGTCAAGGCCGGCCTGAACTGCATAGCAAGACCCTGTCTCAAAAAACCCAAAAAGGGAAAAAAAATTTTTAAATTAGTGTTTAGCTCACATCTGAACTGTTGGAAAATTGCCAGTGGCAGTAGCTATATCATAGATGTCCTTCTTGATGTTTTTCTATATAAACATGTACAGTTTTTTAAGTAGATATAAGATCCAACATTACTTTTTTATACCTTGCTTTTTAAAAGAAAATAGGGTGAACATCTTCCCATGTCAGTAGCTGTCTGTCCATGTACACCACTGTTACTAGTATTGCATTGCATCAGGCGCTGTCATTTACCTAAATAATCCATTAGTAGGTTGTCCCCAGTTTCTTACACAGCGATAGAACGTGCCACCGTGTGTAAATGTGCATCCACATCCTCATTAGCTTGGAGTACGTGATGCAAAGTGGAATTGCGGGGTGGCTGTTGGCAAGGCTTTGCTGTGTTAACATCCCCCCAAAACAGCTGTGCTCGTTCACCTCCTGCAGCACAAGAAGGAGCACTCACGTCTCTGGGCCCTTACAAACAACAGGTATTCAGGATCATGAAAAAATATTTTGCTACTTTAGTTAAAAAATAGTATATCATTGTTTTTATGGCATTTATTTTACTTCTAATGAAAATTTTATCTACTTATTGGTCACTTATGTTTCCTTTTTTTGAGAATTGCCAAATATTGTTGTCCCAGTAACCAAAATACTGTGTTACCACTCTGCCTTTTCAGTTTGATTTGAAAGAAATAAAGGCATTTAAACAGTGCAAATTAGAGTCCTGTATATCCTAGAAAAGAGTATATAAATCAGAAAAGCAGAGACAAGCTGAGTCTGAATCTTAGAGTTTAGCTCAAATTCCATCAACTAATTGACTGGCGACCTGGTCTCTGCTGTGCAATGAGGATGTCATCTCTTCATTCCTGTCACACACGACAGGTTTGCAGTAAATACTCGTGAATTGCTGTTTGCCATAGTTAGAGGCAACTCATGCTTGCTGCCATGAGTAGAGAGATCATTTCTGGACTCAGGTGTAGCTCAGTGGTCAAACTCCTGCTTAGTATGTACAAGCTGGGTTCCATCTCCAGTACTATAAACCCACACAAAGCCACTGCTCCTGTTGGGGAGAGCAGTTGATTTTACCATGGCCCAATTGTTTCTACAAAATTACATTTTAAAAATAGAGTGTATATATATATATATATATATATATATATATATATATATAAGTTACGGCCTTTTTTCATATTGTTACCATGTCATGTTTGAGGCTACTCAGGTAACTTTAACATGACTGTTGAGGAAGACTACTGGTGATGATAGGTGGTGTGGACCAGTCTTCCTAGTGAGGGCACCTAGACAGGCTGGAAACATGAAAATCTGCGTCCTGGGCATAGTGGTGTACACCTGTAACCCAAGCACTCAGGAAGCTGAGGCAGGAGTGTCACCAGGAGTTTGAGGTCAGCCTGAACAACATAGCAAGACCCTGTCTCAAACTCTAAAAAAAATTTTTTTTTTTTTTTTGGTTTTTCTCCGGTACCGGGAACTGAACTCACGACCTTGCGCTTGCCAGGCAGGCGCTTTTGCCGCTGAGCTAAATCCCCAGCCCCCTAAAAAAAATTTTTTTAAATGAAGCTCTTTTCCTGAGAAACTTTTTAAAAATCAAAAGACAAAAAGAAAAAAAATTATTGACATCAGAGCTAACATGATTTTGAAAGGTTGTTGGCAATGGACTCCTGAGGAGATAGAGGCTTAGTGTTAGGGCTCAGTGTTATGGGATGCTGTTTTCTGGAGCACATCTGTAGTCCCGGAGGCTGTTCAGAGGATACTCAGTGCAGAGGGTGGGTGCAGAAGACCGAACGCAGGGCCTCACACATGCTGAGCAAGTGCTCGCCACTGAGCTGCAGCAGCACCAAGATCAGAAGTAGGGGACAGAGTCTGTCAGTGCGAGATCCGATGATGTCCCTCACTTGGGTGAAAGCCATCAGTTCTTAGCTCCCAGGACAAAGGTGAATGAGAAACGGGAAAGAGAAGGCTTTCCCAGGAATACCAGTGCAGCTTCCGGTCATCTCAACTTTGCTATTAGACTGAAGCAATGCCAGAGGGATAGTTTTCCCAAACCCTTGGCATAAACAAATGGAAAGTATCATCATCCTAAACTTCAGCTGATTTCTACAAACAGTTTTGCTAATGCAATATGCTGAATACAACCAGTGTAACCAGGCATAGAAGACAAGGTGGTAAAAACTAGTGAAACAATAGACAATGCAGACAGGCCCATAGAGGCTAGAGATACTATAGCTATCAAAAATAGACCTTAGGGGACTAGGGATTTAGCTCAGCGGCATAGAGCTCACCTGGTAAGCACAAGGTCATGAGTTTGATTCCCAGTACCAGAAAAAAACAACAAAAAAAAAAATCTTAAAATAACTGCTTACTGTGTTCAAGGGGATGTACAATTTTGGGAATTTCACCTAGGCATCTGAAAAATAAAAAGTGCATTCTAGAACTTTTAAAAAATTTTATAACTCCTGTAGCCCTAGCTAATTGGGAGGCTGAGGCAAGATCATTTAAGTCCAGGAGCTCGGACAACATACCAAGACCCTGCTTATATTTTCTTTTTTTGTTTTTTGTTTTATTTTTTGAGCAGTCTTGCTATGTAGTTCAGAGTGGCCTTAAACTCTGTAGCTTAGGCCTGGCCTCAAACTCATAGCAATCCTCCTGCCTCAGCCTCCCAAGTACTGGGATTAGAGGCATGTACCACCACACCTGGCTCAAAACCCTGCTTTAAAAAAAAGAAAAGTACAAAATTTGTACAAATCAAGTAACCAAAATTAATTTTGTGGAAATTTTTAAAAGCACATTGCACACAGCTAAAGAAAAAACTATAAAATTAGGATCTGGGCATCATAACAGACAACCAAGACTACAACAAAAAATGGGCAATGTCCGGTACGCACACTACAAGTAGGCTGCTTGTTATCACTGAAAACCAAAAGGTTCCCCACCACTGTGAACACATACCATTATTGAGAGAAACTAAAAGAAATTCCTGGGCCTGGAAAACTGTAATCCCCAGACCTCATCCAGTGCCTGATTTCTTAAACTTCAGGAACTTTTGAGCTAAGAATGATTTTGTGTTTTTGTTTTTTTTTTTAAACCCAATGTCTCCTGCATACCAGGCAAGTGCCCTTTGACTGAGCTACATCCCCAACCCCAATTTTTACATTTTTAATGGTTGCAGAAGTATCTCCATAATGTTCTCAGTTTTGCCTTTCTGTCCACAAAGCATAAAATACTACATCCTTTCATAAAAGTTTGTTGACTCCTAATATTATATGTCAGCTTTTCCCAAATATATAAATTAAATAAAAAATCATACTTAAAAAGCCATCAGTCACTGGGCATGAGACCACTTGCCTATAATCCCAACTACTTAGGAGGCTGAGACAGGCCTATCTCAAATTTGAGTCCAGGCTGGGCAATTTAGTGAGACTCTGTCCCAAAATTTTAAAAAAGGCTGCAGTGTAGCTCAGTATGAAGGCCCTGGGGTCAGTTTGTAGTAGTGGGTTTGCCAAACTGATTCTAAGAGTTATATACAAATATAGAGGATCAGGAATAGCCCAGACAGTCATGGAGAACAAGGTGGGAGAATTTCCTGGATAGACAGTGTTGCTTGTCACCAGGACAGATAGACAGCAAAACAGCTCAGAACAGACAAATGCCTATGGGCAGGTGGAGGTAATGATTTGGAGGGGCCATGACGGGGGCTCCTGCAAGTGCTGGTAATTCCATTTCTTAATATCTTAGTAGTGGTTATGTAATAAATTGTTCAGTTGTACAGCCTTTGTGCACTTCTCTGAATAAATGTTATATTTTCACAATAAAAAGGG